GGGTCTCGCTCTTGCTCAGGCTGGTTTCGAACTCCTGAGCTCAAACAATCCGCCCGCCTCGGCCTCCCAGAGAGCTAGGATTACAGGCATGAGCCACCACACCCGGCCCAACAACGCATTTCTTAGAGTGCATCCGTCATTAAGTGACACATGACTGTACTTGTTCCTTTACCTTATCTGCACGATTACACTGTAAGGGCAAGGACTATGTTATCAAGCCTTGTATTCCTAACAAAATTTATAATGTCTGTTGAAAGAGTATTTGTTGTGAGTATATTATATCAGGCACAGTGCTAGGTACTTCTAATCTTGAGCTATGGACAATTTCATAGATAAAAAAACTGACACTCTGAAAGATTAAGATATTCAAGACAGAGTCTACCTGTCCTGACTCTGGAATAAAAAGCTGAGAATAAAAGAAATGAAATAAATTTACTTCAAATGCTGCTGAGAAAAGGTTATCTATATTATAGTTTTGTGGTAGTACTGGTAACACTCTTGTCATTATAAGGCACAACTCTAAGTACCTTATATGTATGAAGTCTATTTTTTTATTCCACTGTACAAAACTAGCAATTAAGAACAATCTGCTAATAGCAAATAGTTTCCATCACTGTATGTCATAATCCTTTACCTTTGGCAGAGACCTGCTTACTAAATGGCTGAAGGGCCATCAATCAAGTCTCAGGACACATAAGCTGTAAGAGAATGAAGCCAGTGGTATATCAAGTAACAGGAACATTCTTCCTTATCAGGATAAAATGATTATCAGTTTTTGAGTAAAATAATCTTAAATGGAAAGACATAGGAAAGAGCATGGTTAAATGATGGAAAATGAGGTAAGAACAGGAGAGGCAGATCATAATCTTGTAGTTGCAACATTATGATAGCTAAGGTATGAGCTACCTTACCACTGAGGTATAAGGATATTTAATAGATCAAAGAATTTAAAATCCTAGGGAATTTGAATAACCAGCTCACACCTCAAAAGGCCATCAACAAATTAAGAAATATTAAAGAGAACAGCAGGTTTCTTCTTGGCTGCTGCTTGTCTATCCATCACAAAAAAAAAAAAAGTATGTCAGGTATGGAGAGTACATTCAATGTCAAGGCTTTATTTTGAAATTCTGTTCCAGATGCCACTCCACAGCATACAGCACACCTTCCTTCACACTTGAAGGGAAAAATCCTTGAGAGTTCACCACATTTGGGTGTTGTTATTTTTAGCATAAGATTTTGTTCTTCTATAAGAAGTATCTCTTGGATTCAAACCACAGAAATGTCAATGAACGTTATTTCCATTGTAGAATCATTTAAAAGTCACCTACAAATTCAAATTTGACATGATGCATTGATAGTTTAGACTCCTTCTTCATCAGTCCCATGTGACTGCACTTGATTCAAATGTTTGGTAGAGGTGGATTTTACGACTTCAAATATTCCATGAGATACAACATTCATTCACACTGGGAATTACATTTCTGGGGTAGTCTTTTAAAAAGTCCATTATTAACTTTTATCTCCAAGAGCTACTTTCTTCTTTCTGTTCTGACTAGTGACCTTTTTCCTGTGAAAAGCAAAGTAAGGAAAGTTGAATCAGAAAATTCTAGATATATTAACACTTACTTTCATAACTCTACCAACAGTTTAATAAACATTTATTGTATCAAGTATGTGAGGCACTAGGAACCCAAAGATGCATATTAGACATTGTCTCTGCCGTTTAGAAAATCACAATCACTTAAGTGATACAGACCATCACGATAAACTACACTACTACATGGTATGAAAGACAGATTCTGATCCTGACCTAATAAGGAGTTCACATTAATTCAGTGCTTATTAAGTGCACTTAGAAACTGTGCTTTCCATGCGTAATTTGGATAATCTTCCTAATAACTTATGAGGAAGATTCCACTATTCTCATTTTACAGATGAGGAAAATGAGGCTCAGAGTAGTTATTTGTCAGTCATCACATAACTGGAAATAAATGTACATATGAACCCTGACAGTATGATTCTAGAGCCTGGTGAATGAATAGTGAATATCATTAACTAAGCATTAACACAGGAAAAGGAAAAAAAGAAAACAATCAATGTCAACACACTATATTATAGTAATACAAAGTTCTTTGATGTATACGAACTCATTTAATCCCCCAACCAATCCTGAAAGGCAGTTTCTATTAGTTATATAATCACTTACATTATATATAGGAGGAAGAAGGCTTAGAGAGGTACAGTGACTTCCCCAAAGTCACATAGAAAGTGTTAGAACCAGTTCTTCTGGCTCCAAATCCATCCAATTTTCCCCTCCACTACATGGGGTTGAGTTTGCAGTGCCTGAAGTGAGGTCCACTAGGCAACAAAGATTTAGGTTTGTAGCTCAATGGGGACAGTTTGGCCTGAATACATGAACTTAAGAGTTACCAGCATAGAGGTATGAGCTGAGCCTGCAGGCGTGGGTGGGATCATTAAAGGAACATCTGTATTGGAGAGGTAAGCTAGAGTCACATCATGATAGGTCTTGTTTGTATGCTACATTAATAAGCGCATTCAAATAGCCTTTTTTTTTTTTTTTTTGAGACAAGAGTCTCACTCTCTTGCCTGGGTTAGAGTGCCGTGGTGTCACCCTAGCACACAGCAACCTCAAACTCCTGGGCTCAAGTGATCCTACTGCCTCAGCCTCCCAAGTAGCTGGGACTATAGGCATGTGCCACCATGCCCGGCTAATTTTTTTTTTTTTCTATATATTTTTAGTTGTCCGATTCATTTCTTTCTATTTTTTTTTTTAGTAGAGACAGGGTCTCGCTCTTGCTCAGGCTGGTCTCGAACTCCTGAGCTCAAACAATCCACCCGCCTCGGCCTCCCAGAGTGCTAGGATTACAGGCGTGAGGCCCGGCCTCAAATAGCCTTTAAACGTAAAGAAAATAGAGAAACAACCAAAGCATCTTAAGCAAGGTTTATATCAAGTGTCCTCAAAACCTTAGTGTAATTTAAGTTTTAATAACCACAGAAGTATAAATGCTACAAACTTATAAAAATCAACATTTAAAGTGTAATTAAAATTCTGATATATCTTGTTAAAATTCAACATAGCCACCATCTTAGGCACTAGTTGATTTTCAACCTTTGTAAAAACTTTCATCAGTTGCTGCGCAGTGTCTGAAAGGACTGCATTTGTAATATTAGCTTTAAGATCATCCAAAAAATAAGGTTCTGATGAATGCATAACAGTGACGTCCCTCCAAACACTCACACAAGAAAAAGTCTATCGAGAAGATTAGGTGACCAAAGTTGCGAAGAATCATGACATTCTCTAAGTGTAACCCACAAAGTGTCACCACAGAAAATTAAAATAAAAAATGTAGCAGGCTGGGCACAGTGGCTCATGCCTGTAATCCTAACACTCTGGGAGGCTGAGGCATGAGGATTGCTTGAGCCCAGAAGTTTGAGGTTGCAGTGAGCTACGATGATGCCACTGCACTGTAGCCCAGGCAACAAAGCAAGACTGTCTCAACAACAACAAAAACAAAACAAAAAGCAATAACATTTGGGGATTCTTGTACATTGTATATATGTGAACTGAACATTATTGTCCATAGCCAATACCAAAATGTCAAGTAAGAATCTTGTTCCACTTACACAAGTAAATTCTAGTTTTCATCCCTTTGTTCACTTTGTTCCTTCTACATGCCTAAATTTTACCTATCCTTAAAGATAGTTTTACCTCCTTTAAACTTTCTGTAACTACATCAATCCACCATGATCTTTCCCTTCTCTAAACTCATATTTTATTTAAAAATCATTTTCTAATTTTTTTTCATGTATACTAACCTCCTTTCCCTACCTTCAGGAAAGGGGTCTCATTTCATATTCATTTGTATACCCTACCACCATCAAGTATCTTGCAGGACAACTTAGTAAATGCCTACTGGTTGATGGAAACAGTTTTTTCTAATGACTTCCACAGAATAGATGTAAAGTAATGGAAATAAACAGTAATTTATTTCACAATGGTAGTATCCTAGGCCATTGATGGCACTCTCAGGGAAAAAAAAAAAACAAAACAGTAAAAAATTATTAGAATTCGAGAGTTCTATTAGAGAATATATTAACTTGGTACTGGTAGAATTTGAAGAGTGTCATTTTCCTTAAGTAGTGGAAAGAGTAGTACTGTTCAGAATATTTTGGCCTATCCCTATCAAAATACGTAGCTTCCTAATATTACTAGGCAAAATAAGGTAATTCTATACGCATGCTAAAAAGTGTGTGCTTTAAAATCCTCATAAAACTCAACTATGCGACTACAAATTTACCCAATTAAGACTTTTTACAGGTTTTACAACATGCTTCTGCACAAGCCTAAGATTATACTGAAATCCTCCAGGCTATGGAGCTTCAGGGAAGACTCGATCAATTTGAGTCAATGGTCCTAACAATTGGTCTTAGTAGCGTGCCCTAATGTAGGCTGTGTAAAGATGGTGGGCAGTACAATTCAAATTTATAGTGAATTGAAATCATATTTTCAAAAATGGAAAAAATCAGATCATTAATCCATGGATACAGAAAAATTTTAAGATTAAATCATCCAAGTTCCCAAATCATAGGCAACCTAAGATATATTATTTTTATCACATTTTATAACAGACTGTAGACCTAGCAATTCTACTTCTAAAAATTTATCCTAAGGAAAAATAATGCCTAACATAACTATATCATATAGTCAAACCAGCAGCTTTTCTTACCACGTACTTACCGTTTATCCTTAGCTTTTTCTAAGAAATATTTTGGAGTTGTACTAATGCTCTCCCTTTCCAGTGGTTTCTTAATCATCTTTTTCTTTTGTTTGCTGAAAGTTACAAAGTAAAAGAGGAAATAAATTAAGTGCCAACTTCATTTAGAAGAGTTAAAGCTAAAATTAGTTTTGATTCTTGATTCATAAAATTCTTTTATTAAACCAATGGTTTAAGTTGGGGCTATATACACATTAACAGATTACCTAATAGCATTTAGAGAGCTAACTCAAAGGGATGATAAATTCAATCAACTTTTTAAAAGTTACTGATTATGATTAAAATATGTCCTGTGTTAACCTTGTATCCTATGTCAATGAGCATCAGACTTTGATTTGGGTCAATTATCTGCTTTTTATTGGTTTTACAGATTAAAATAATTCTAGGCACATTTCACTCACACCAAATACTTTTTTAAAAGTCTGAATATTTAAAATTTCAAGGATGAAAAAATGGCAAGGAAATAATATACAGTAATCAAATATTTAAAAGCAAAATTTTTATCTTAAAATGCTCTAAATGTAGTATTACTGTTAGAAGTATAATGTGTAAAAGAGAGTATAAAAGCAAGCAAGTATGAAAGTAGGGTCTCGAAGACATTTTTGTATACCTGCGTTCAGAACAATATTGTTCACGATAGCTAAAACGTGGAAGAAACCCAACTATCTACCCATGGATGAATGGATAAGCACGATGTGGTATACATACACGGAAATATTATTTAGCCTTAAAAAGAATGGAAATTCTGACATATGTAACAACATAGACAAACCTTGAAGACATTATGCTAAGTGAACTAAGCCAAAAATACTTTATGATTCCACTTATTCGAGATACAATCAAAATCATAGAAACGGAAAGCAGAATGATATTTGCCAGGTGCTGGGGAATGGGGAGTTATTGTTTAATGGGTACATAGTTTTAGTTTTGCAAGATGAGTTCTAGAGACGGATGGTGGTGATGGTTTTGTAACAATATGAATGTACCTAATGCTACTGAACATTTAAAAATGGTTAAGATGGGCTAAGCACTGTGGCTCATGCCTGTAATCGTAACACTTTGGGAGGCCAAGGCGGGAGGACTGCCTGAGGCCAGGAGTTCCAGATCAGCCTAGGCAAACAGCAAGACACCATCTCTGCAAAAAATAGAAAAATTAGACAGGCATACTGGTGCGTGCCTATAGTCCTAGCTACTTGGGAGGGTGAGGCAGAAGGATAACTTGAGCCCAGGAGTTTCAGGTTGCAGTGAGCTATGATAAGGCCACTACACTCTAGCCTGGGCGACAGAATGAAACCCTCTCTCTCTCAAAAATAAAAAAAAAGAAAAAACGGTTAAGATGGTAAATTTTACGTTATATGTATTTTACCACAATAAAAAAAAACTGAAAAAAACAGCAAAAATCAGAATGTCAAGCAGGAACTGAAAGTGAGAGAAGAATACATCCAGTTTGACACCATTTATATTAATATAAGATCAAAACGATGCAAAACTAAACAATGTACTATTTAGA